AGGTTCATGTGATTCTTACATTTATTGTTTGCAAAAATACACCAATAAGAATTTAGTAAAATTAAATAATTATTTAGTTAAATAAATATAGATATTAAATGATTTTCATATATATATATATATATATATATATATATATATATATATATATATTAAATGATATCCATAATTATAATTCTTTTTTTATAGAAACTGATTAAATTCGTCATTAGTGTCAGCAACAACATTTTTTCAGAATAAATTTGCATCTAAGTTTACATGTATGGGTTCGTGTTTTGTTTATGGACTTACTCACTTAAAATATAACAAAGTTGCATGAACAAGAGTGTATTCTAATAGAATACACTCTCAGTCTGTTAGAATATACTCTCATTCTTCTAAAATAAACTATCACTCTACTAGAATATACTCTCGTCTTCATGTTCTAGGCAACTTTGTTGTATTTTGAGTGAGTGAGTCATGAAACAAAAATGAACTCATACATAAAAAACTAGATACGAATTCATTCCGAAATAATATTATTTATGATATTAATGGTGAATTTAATTAGTTTCCATAAAAAAATGAATTATAATTATGGATATCATTTAAAATCCATATAATTATGAAAATAATTTAATATCTATCTTCATTTGATTAAATCATAATCTATTTTTTACTTATGACTATTATGATATTAATGGGTGAGATCCGTTGACAACTCATTAATAACATGATCGCAATGTTACAAATCTCATTTAATGTTTAATTTTTTGTATTATTGGAAATATTAATAAATTTTTTTAAAAATTAACATAATAAATAAAAATTTGGATTTTTTTAAAATAAATTTTGATTTTTTAAGAAAAATGGAGATTTTTTTAATTTTTTTTTAAGGAAACATGAATTTTTAGAAAAACATGAACTTTTCAAAAACCGCATTTTTTTCAAAAAAAATTGCAATTTAAAAAAAAAACACTATCTTTAAAAAAAAGATGCATTTTTTTAGTGCATATATACATTTTTTATACTATAATAGTCATATGTAAATCATACAAAATCTTATTTTTGGTAATAAATCTATAAACATAATAGTACAAGTATTTTATTCGATAAAAAAAACAATGCTATAAAGATTCACAGTGTTATCATTTCTTCATATCAAGATTTCTATATTTTCTTCAATTTATCACTTTTTACATCTTCAAAATTTTTCTACAAATTCTTTCAAATATACAAGAAAAAAATGATTAATACATGTGTACATATAGATGTAATTCACTTGTGACTTACATATGAATTACATGTGATTTATGTGTGAATCACATGTGATTTATATGTGAATCACATGTAATTCATATGTGATTCACTTGTGAATTACATGTGATTCATGTGTGATTTATATGTGAATCACATGTTATTCACTTGTGAATTACATGTGATTTATATGTGAATTATATGTGATTTATATGTGAATCACATGTGCTTTATATGTGAATCACATGTGATTTATGTGTGAATTACATGTGATTTATATGTGAATCACATGTAATTCACACATAAATCACATGTGATTCACATATAAAGCACATGTGATTCACATATAAATCACATATAATTCACATATAAATCACATGTAATTCACAAGTGAATAACATGTGATTCACATATAAATCACACATGAATCACATGTAATTCACAAGTGAATCACATATGATTCACATGTAATTCACTTGTGAAGTATATGTGATTCACTTGTGCATCACATATGATTCATATGTAAATCACATTTGATTCATATGTGAATCACATTTGATTCATATGTGAATCACATGTGATTCATATGTGAATCACATGTCATTCATATGAAAAAAAAATGTTGACTAGACCAGTATAATTTACAAATAGATTTTACTAGAGTTTCAAGACCGTCATCTTCACAAGCATATTTGGCATAGTCATATCAAAGAGTACGCATCAATATCTTTAAAACCAATCATATCAAAGAGTACGCGTCAATATCTTTGAAACCAATCTACTAAGGAAAATAACCATCATAAATGAATTGAATATGGATAACTAATGAATCCCCATTATAAGAAAAAAAATTAACAAAGTTAATAAAGAAATAGAAAAAAAGCCAACGAATTGGATCTTTTAACATATTTTAATTATCTTAACCATTGGTAGCTTTATTTGTTCTTTTAATAAACCATATGTAAGAAACAATCCATTTTTCTACCTTTTTTTTTATTTACAATTCCCGCTTCCCTTTTTTTTTGTAAATGATATAAGTTTTAAAATATGAAGGTATTAAAAACTAACTGGAAAATAGAAGGATTAAAATTTACTATATTCATTATACATTATGGTAGTAGGTTTGATACAAAATTACACTTAATTCATAATTATGAAACGGATGAAAATGCAGCCAATTCCTAGTTTTACACATTTGCACAAACGAATCCCTCAATTGTTATTACAAATGTATCAACACTTTTGCTGCACATTTGAACTAATGCAGTATGGAAGCTGATGACATATATTTACACATGTACACATATAAGTTCATTAAAAAAAGAAGCAACAACACCTTAAAAATTTAGCGAATCACAACTCTTGCTCAGTTGGAGGCTTTGAGAGAGATAATTTACTAACCTTTCTCTATCTGTGTTTCTGTCCATATGTTCAATAGAATGTGAACGTGACTTTAAATTCACTCTTGGTCTCTCAAGTCCCTGGTTTCCATCTTCTGTCAGATTTTCATTTCCATAACTCTCATTTCCACTGTCCACAAGATCCATTGGAATCAGAAATCAGAAGTAAGAAAGTAGCAACTAGAAATCAAAAATCGAAAATGAGAAGTAGCAACTAGAAATCAGATTATTAAGTAGCAACAAGAAATAACAATAGAAAGTAGATTGTGGGTGTTGATCTTAGCCATTCATGGGTTGTGTACATTTCAAGACAATCGAGTGTAAAGACTGCTGACAATAAGAGTTTTGCAAATAGAAAAGGGAAATCATATATGTGGGTGTATTGATCGTTTGATTGGTTCTTAACAGTTTGAAGCAACATTTCATTTTGTTATGCAACTTATGATTTAAATCATAAGCTCAATTTCATATATACAAACGGTCAATAAGCAATACAATATTCACTACCTCATTCAGATAGAGAATCATAAACAACTAAAGATAATTTATTCATGAATGATTTTCAATCTGATAATTAGTTCGCCAAGTACCGTAATTATCAAGAAGAAATAAAAATAGAAAGTAGACTATGGGTGTTGATGTTACCCTTTCATGGGTTGTGTGTATTTCAAGACAATCGAGTGTAACAATTGCTGACAATAAGAGTTCTGCAAACAGAAAAGGAAATCATATGTATGGGTGTATATCGTTTGATTGGTTCTTAACAGTTTGAAGCAAGATTTCCTTTTTATATGCAGTTTATGATTTACATCAGAAGCTCAATTTCATATGTACAAACGGTCAATAAGCAATAACATATTCACTACCTTCAGATAGAGAATCATAAATAGCTAAAGATAATTTATTCATGAATGATTTTCAATCTGATAATCAGTTCGCCAAGTACAATAATTATCGAGAAGAATTTACTTGGAAAACAAAAAGAAGAATAATTGAAACCCTAGAATTCCAACGACTCACCATTGACGTGATGGAACAAATCAATCGGTCATTGATAATCTAAACTTTTTAGAAGGAATAGTTAAAAAGATCAATTTCTTCATCTTAACAGAGGCGATGGTGGCGTGTCTTGCTCCGGTAGAGACATCAATAGAGAGAAGGGAAGATTCACGTGTGATTCAATATTTGTATCGAATCGATGTGCAAATTTTTTCTCTTCTGATGAATTGAATCAATAGATCAGTAGCGATGGAGTTATCGATTGAATCGTCACTGTCGATGATATAGAGATTAACAAGTGTCTTCCTTGATCGGCGACAGAGGTAGCGGTGGTCAATGGAGGGAGGTGGGAGGCGGTAGATGGAGGGAGGCAATTGATGTGCAGATAGGGATGGCAAAAAAGCCTGAACCCGATGGGGAAACCTGAAACTCGATCATTTCAGGTTGGGTAACGGGTCGTTATCAAATTTTTTATTGGGTTCGGGGCAGGGAGTGGGTTATCCTCACCCCGCCCCACCCGGAATATATATATATATATATATATATATATATATATAATATGTTCGAAACTTTTTGATGTTAAGTGCACACGATCAAAGATAAAATACTTATTGTGGAAAATCTTTTTAGTTATTAACGATCTGATGTGAATGATCATTTTTTTTTATGTTTTAATGTATTACACTAAACTTAAGTCAAATAATTTATAATATAACATTCAATTTATTTTATTAAAGTGATGCATCATATTTTTAATTTAAAAGAGATGCTAGAACATTTTTTTATAAGATATTGGGGTACCCTAAAACGGAATAAAGATTTCGTTATGAATTGTTGTAAACCCGATAAAACACTCGAAACCCAATGGGGCGCCTGGATAAGATACCCGGAAGATATCGGGTCGGGTTTGGGAAACCATGCCTTGCCCCAAACCCGCCCCGTTGCCATTCCTATGTGCAGAAGACAAGAGAGAGAGAGAGAGAGAGAGAGAGAGAGAGTATGTGTGTGTGATTTAGGATTTTAGATTAACTAGCAGGAATCTAGTGTGCGCCTTTGGCATTGTCTTGCATTTAAATGATGATAAATATTTATGTGGAAATTGTCAATGGATAGTTTGATGTTATGTGGATTGGAGGGTCGTAGGTTAACTGTTTATGTGAGGTACATTGCTTTGTAATATAATATTTATTTATATACCCATATGGAAGGTATTTCACATCATAAGACCTGGAAAAACTTTCATTGGAGTAAGGATAGGAATGAACACAACATAAACGTAAAGGAAATAGACATAGGGAAACATGGAGACAACGCCATCGTTTAGTCATCAGTTGTATATTTGATTGTGCGTTTGTATTTTCCAATTCATTTATGAATTGATATGAGCATGAAGGAGATGTTGTCTTCCATGGACTGGTCCTCCTCTTTGGCATTTTGCAGGATTGTTTTCAGGATTCTGGAGATGGGGTTGTCAGTATCTGTCAAGAGACTGGTGTGAGAGGTTTCATCCATGATGAAGCCTTCTTGTAATTTCATCTGAGCTGCTTCAATAAGATCTGCTACTTCCTGAATGTAAGCAATGAGTGAGAGGAGAACGTTGTGGAGTTGTTGGTTGTTCATCTTTTAATAAGGCTACTGTACGTGTTTCAGATGTTGGGGTTTTATAGAACTTATGAAAGGAGTAGAGGGGTGGGGGGGGGGATGTTATGGGTGTGGTTAATCAGTGACGTGTGTGTATCTAAATTTCTCTAGGTGGCATTGCTGTTATAGTAGGTTACATAAGTCATTGCATGCAATTTTATTTAGGGTGTGAGGTGGCCTGTTTTGGTGGTATTAATAAACACAGGCATTATTTGTGTATGTGTGTATATGATTAAAATATTTGTTATTAACACTATTGGGGTTGAAGTGGAGTTTCTTTTATAGTAATGTATATATAATGTTAGTAGGTAGTTGTTTTCGTAGTATCAAATGTTCTTATTTTTTTTAATAGTAACTACTTTAGGACCAACATGTCAATATCTTAGATTATAAAAAGCTTACTTTTTTTAATGGCCGTTGTTTTTTAGTACAAGTAAGGAAGGTAGTCATTACTTTTTAAACAATGACTAATGTTGGTATGTTGCAGTGGATATTTTTTTTGTGTTGATATATGCATGGTAATTTTGTAAGGGAATAGTACATGTGCAATGTTGTAATTTGTTTTATTAAATGTTGTTGTGGTTTTTTTAATAATATAATATTTTGTAGGACTCAGTAAACACTGCTGATATATTCATGGTAATTTTGTAAGGTAATATTACATATGCAAAATATGATATGGTTTTTAAGTTAGTAGGAATAGAAGTAAGAGGAAGGGTTGGTACTACAAAGGTAATAGGAAGTGGAGATAAACAAAAGGTTAGCACTATAGTGCTGGTACACTAAGCCATTGTTTTTATTGCGACCGGCGTGGTCGTTTCGGGCCTGCATCAGATTTTTCCATACCTGTTATTTAATGATAACAATTAGTTGTTTTTTTGGTATACTTGTTTAATGTGTAATGAGTATCACCTGGATTTTCAAAATTTAATGCCCTCTTCACTTTGGGTTGATTTTGTGCGGATGAAGACGTTGGTGTTTTATGAGGAACATTGGAGGAGGATGTGTATTCTGAAGGTGGGGTTGTTATTAATGATGATTGAGAAAAGTTGTCTTCGATATCAGTTATTATGAAACAGATGTTCCTTTCAGTTGACGTGTTTGTGATCCGTAATTTCATCTTTTTCGTGATACCTTCGGTTTCTTTTATAATGGTGGGCAATTTTTTCCTGTGGTTTGGGTCGCCCTCTAGTATGAGTTTATTTGTTTTTGTTCCAAATATTTTCTAGGCAACATTTTCAGATAAGGTAACCGTCATTGAGGAAGTTGGGTCCGTAATTGTTGCCATAAGCTTGTACCTGTGTGCATGAATGATATGAGTTCATAGAAATTGTTTATATATTTCAATTTTTGTTTTGAGGGTGTTGTCACTTACATGGGAGTTGGAGAGGTAATCGTTCTGTGTGATGGACAGGACCAGTCCTTTCCTTGTTTCAGTGTTGATATCTTACATTGTGGACAGAAAACTTGGTACCAATAATCTGAGAAAAGGTACTCTATTATGGATGCCTCTGTTGTCAAAGTTTTTTCGTGTTAAAGAATGACAAATTTATAATATATCTAATAATATTGATAAGGGGAAGGTGGATATAACTTTGACAGAGTATGAATATACCAAGAGATTTGAATGTTTTTTTTTCTCATTTATCTGTTTAATTGGCATTGGAAGTCCAAACAAAGGTGTTGAAGCAACATTTTTCATGTAGCTGTGATTTTTAGAGACTATTAGTATAGAGATAAACATGATTATAATATATTGTTTTTAGGATGGTACCTATCCAGAAGTGTATATGTTTCTTCGATAGGTGGAGTTACGTATATGTTGGTTGCACTACTAGTTCCTAACCTTAATGAACCTTAAAATGAAGTATTTGTAATTATTTTAGATTCTTTTATTGGTAGTTGCATCAGCAATAATACACATTGGTTTTCATCAAACATACCACCATAATCCATGATTCGGACGTTTGTGACAACAATGACAGTGGGAGCAGGTGCATTCTCAATTGCGTTCCGATTAAATTTTGAAGGTGCGTCAGTGCATTCTTTCCACAAGCTTATCGCAATATCTTCACCACTGTTGTTTGCATGTTTTAAGTATGGTAATTAGTATATATGTATATTTTCAAAAGGTGCAACACTTACAATTCATTCCTTAGAATGAAGAGTAGGTAAGGTTCATCGTTTTTCTTAGTGCAGGCCACCAGTTTATCGAAAACTCCTAAGAAATCTGCACAATGAATGACAAGTAATCTATTTACATATGTGTTGTGTAAGAGGTATGTACAACATAATAATATTGAAAGTAGTTTGCAAAAGAGCATGTATTGTTATTTCAATGTTTTGTGATCCATTTATGTAATCTAATACCTGGGTAATGGTTGATATAATCTGGTATTTGGCTTTTTGGTATGAAGTTAAACCAGTGTGTTGGAATAGTAACTGTGTTTGGGATAGAGGTAATAGAGGACGCAGTGCCAACACCGATGTATATTGGATTGTGTAACCATTTCTGGTACACGTATGGTTCTCCACATCCATATTTAGTCAGTGTATAGCATTTAGAAAGAGCAAGAGCAGACTGTACAAATCCTTAATCCTTTCTTTGACCAAGAATTTGGATTGTATCACCCTGATATATTAGTAGGAAGCATGTGGAAGTGAGTATATGCATGGAATGGATGAATATTAATAACATGGTTCAAAAACATACATATTTGTCGACCACTAAAAACCAGGTTTCATGACCTCGGACTTGTGGCGTCCATGTACGGAGAATGCGTACTTGCAGTGCTGTTCCTGGTGATGCATACCCCAACTCTGAGATTGCAGTGAATATTTCAGACATGTGGCTAACACAAGGTTTGAGAAAAAAAAAACTAGAAATTCGATGTTTTTGTGCAAGGAAAATTATGTATGTTTAGAGATGTAGTATGATATGATCAGTCAATAAAGATGTGATGTATTATAATATATGTTTGTAAAACATCAATATGATACAAGACTCGGAAGACAGGCAGGGATTGCAATTTGTTCTATAAGAAAATATATTCATATTTTGCTTGTTATTGTAATACAGAAAGGCAGTAAGAGTCTGGTGTAAGATGATTTATGTTTACAGAAGATGGATATGCATTTGACCTCATAAATACTAACTGTGCGCAAGAAATCTTTAAAGACAACATTTTTTGTTTTGCTATGTGCACCACCAATATCAAATTGTATCAGTACTTTAATAGACTGTAGAGACGTAGCACGAGAGAGGGCAACATAAAGATGTCCATGTGTGAAAATTGGTCCCGGCAAAAAAAAACTCCGATTTTAGATAGTGATTGACCCTGGTCACTGTTAATTGTCATGGCATAACAAACCTTGATTGGGAATTGCTTTCTAATGAAGGTAAAAGGGGTTTCAGGGCTTTTGTGTATAAATTTTATCCGAGGCAGGTACACTTTTTTTCCTATGGATGTGCCAGTAATTAACTAATTATTGTTGCCTGTGTCACGTTTGGCAATAACTGTGAAACAATTAACCGTGTACTATGACAACCCGGATTTTTTTTGCTTTGAAGACACAGTCAATCAACTCAACTAAGTGTCGAACTCATTAGTACAAAGTTCTAGCCCGATTAAAGGTCATTCTAAGGATTTTTGAGTCTAACACACTTAAGGAATAAGTGTTAGGAAGTACTAGCTAGGACCACAGTGTAACATGCAAACCTTAAACTCCATCAAAAGGAGTTTACGGCCAAGTTACCAAGAGTTTACGAGTGTAAACTCAAGGGGGCCGTAAACTCACCTATATATATATATATATATATATATATATATATATATATATATATATATATATATATATATATATAAATCTTGGCCATTTCCATTCTTTCCTTTCCTTGGCTGATTTTCCCTCATTCTCTCTCAACTATCATCCGAATCTTCATACCCGATCTTCAAAAATCGTAAGTTTTCTTTCTTCAGTGGTTGTTAATCCATCTTAACTAGCATCATCTCATGATTTTATCCATAAAAATCATGTTTGTATAGATCTTCAAGTTCCACCAAGAAAACACACTAGTGTTCTTGGCCAATATCATCCATTTCAAGCTTCTGGATCGTAAGTGCTCTTCCCTATACTTCATATCTAGTTAGTATCCATGCTTAGAGACTTGAAAACATCAAGAACACAAGATCAAATGGAGTTTACGGCCAGGCTATCTCCCAAGGCCGTAACCCCTTTTAGGTGGCCATTTGGACCATAAACCCTATAGGATTCAAGGCAAGTGACCCAGAACCCTTCCATGATGATTGAAGGAGCTTAAACTTCACTAAAATCCATCATGACCATGAGTTTACGACCGTAAACCCCTTTGGGTCGTAAACTCATCAAAAGCCTCATTTGAGTTGGTCTTTCTCATGCAAGTATAGAACAAAATTCCCTAAAGCATCCCTAGCCTTCAAACTCACTCTTAGCCATGTTTCACCATGAGTTTATGGTTGTAAAATCCCTTGGTTCGTAAACCCATGGTAGTAAACTCATGTTGGTGTCATCCTACCCTCCTTTGATGAATCACATGTGATTCCAACACTTTGTCAAAGTGTTTCCTAGTCCCGGAAGGTGTTTCCTTTCATATAGTTGTATATAAACACTATATTCATGCCAATATGTGTCACACCCCGAAACCGAAGGCGGAAACGTTTCGGAGCGGAGGTGACTTCATGTTAAGTATCACAACCAATGTACATAGGAAGCAAAGTAAACAACCATTACATTACATATTAGAATTTACATATGTTCAAAAGTAAAGTGTTACAAGTGTTATACATATGTATCATATGGACAAAAGTAAAGATGTGTCTTCTATGAACTTCGTCTTCGCCAAAAGGATCGTTGGGTACCTGTCTAATGCGGACCTGAGAATACAAGCACTTTGAAAATCAGCATAAAGCTAGTGAGTTCATAAGATGTTTGTTTTCTGAAAATGTACAAGTTTCCTTTGGTTTTTCGAAAAAGTTACAAACCCAAGAAAATCCCATATTTTCTTATAAGTATAATTGAGTTATCCGTTTATTTACTCAATCTAGATAAGAACAGTTCAGTTAATCCAGGAAAAACCCTTATTTTCCTAAAAGTAAAGTTTAGTTAAAGACCATATTGTATAGTTTAATACGTAAAACTATATACTGAAAATCATGGGATTACTATCCTGTACTAGATATAAGATAGCCTTGATACATAAAAACTATAGATTGAAAATCATGGGATAGTCGTCCCGTAGTAGATATAAAACCATGGGAATACTATCTCGTACTAGATATAAGATAGTTTCATATACACAAAACTATAGATAGATATAGATTGAAAACCATGGGACTATCATCCTGTACTAGATATAGATTCAAAACCATGGGACTACCATCCCGTATTAGATAAGATATAAAACCATGGGACTACCATCCTGTACTAGATATAGATTCAAAACCATGGGACTACCATCCCGTACTAGATATAGATTCAAAACCATGGGATTACCATTCCGTACTAGATATAGATTCAAAACCATGGGATTACCATCCCGTACAAGATATAAGAACTATAGGTAGAAAATAGATATAAAATCAAATCCGTGAATAAACTTATATTAATACGTATTGTGAGTCGGGTAACCATGCTAATGCGACACCGAGACATCCTTGAAGTTCGTCAAACGTCGGACGATTTCCAGAATTTGTCACCCCAGGCGTGCATGCCTAACTGTAGCTAGCAGTTTAAGTGTGGGATTGTTAGTCCCGAATAGATCTATTCACAAATTCCACACTCTCCCTCCAGGAGACTCTGGTTACACTTCCGGGGAGGATTTACTGATAACCCAAAGGGTTTAAAATGATGAATCTCACAAGCTAGTATCAAATTATTCACGGTGTTCTCAGACGTTATCAAACATACTAATCGTTTTGAAACATAATACCGTATAAACAGTTTAATACAATGGAATTATCTGGCAATATACTCTAAATTAAGCAGAGATAAACTGAATCAAACATAGTTTATCTATTAACTTTACATAAATCTATACTCATAAAACAAGAACTAAAGTTCCCAAATTATTCCCATAATAATTTGATTGATTTGATTGTTTCCTTTACTGAAATTCATGTGGTTATATTCGATAAAACATCCCTTATGCTCCGCATAATACATAAGGGGTAAAGATATCTAAAAGTTTGCCAGATATTTATGAAGTTACATTAGTTTTAAGTTTCGAAAACATTTATAGTTTGCTTGTATTCCCCCCCCCCCCTGAAAACATTGAAAAACACTGAAAAGGCGTAGGGGTATGAACTCACCAGTCGCGGAATGTGTCGGTTTGGATGCTAAAAGTCAGTTCAGGGCTTGAACGCGTGCGAGGTTCCTATGTAATATTAAATGATACACAAATGTATCTAATTAGACTTTAATTCACTCGTTAGATGTGATTATACACTCCAAGACGCGAAAGCACTTCAAATCAAGTGTTTGGAGTGACCCGGGTGGCATCTACGGACATATAGGGCATAGATAATGAGTTTTCTCTTCAAGAGTAAACTCCTTAGGGAGTTTAAGGCCCTAAGACCATTTCCACATGAGTTCACGGCCGTGAACTCATGGATGATGGGTTTTAAGGTGCTTAAGGGTCAAATATCACTTGGTAAATGTTGCTAGGATTTAATCTAAGGCATAGGAAGGAATTAAACCAACACATCGACCACTTAAAGGAATTTATGACAGTAAACTAGGAGTTTACGGCTGTATGTTTTGGTGGTGTTTGGACAATCATATGTGATTTAAACTCATTTTACAAGCCTTGGATGGAATTTAGGGCATCATTTGACCATGTTTTAAGAGTTTACGGCCCATGAACCCATCCTTGGGGGGGGGGGGTTTACAGCTGTGAACTACTAAGGGAGTTGTTTTCATCAAGATTAAGGCTTCTAATTCGATTGTGGTTGTTTGTAGACTTTAATCTAAGGCTATTGGTGTGTTTAAATGGCATTTTAACACTTTAAATTGAGTTTACTACCCATGATATAGAGTTTACGGCCCAAGCATGTTCTTGGGCAGTAAACTCATGTTTACTCCCCAAAATTTGAGTTTAAGGTGTTCTAAGTCTCATCCAATAAGTCCTTAAGCCATATCTAAGCTCCAATGGTGGTTTGGAAGGGTTTTATGGCTCAAAAACCACATTTGCATGTGTTCACAGCCTAAGGCTGTTCCAGGGCTGTAAACAAATGTTTATGGTCGTATTCCATGATTTGAACACGAAATTGAAGGCTAAGGATGCTAATTATGAGTTAGGGTAGTTACCTTGAGGATTTGAAGCTTGAAATGGGTGATTTTGGATCAAAAAGTTGGATTTGAGGAGAGAGGTTAGAGAGAGAGTGAAAAAGGATTCAAATGAGTCTCATTTCACTTTATATATGGTTCGGGTTTGGGACACGGTGGAATTCTACCCGATACCAACGTTAAACGAGGCTTTTGGTCGCACCCGATTAAGTTGTCGTAACCCGATATGGTCGAAACTAAATTTTTTCTAATAATTAGTTTGGGGTATTTACTTGTGTTTCTAACATGTTTGGATACTTACAAGGTCAAAATAAAAGTCTAAGATTAATTGACCTTATCCAAAAACGAAATCGGAACAATTTGCTAAAGACGAGTTTTACGGACGGAACGGGTTACGGCGATGGAACAACTTTGGGTTGTCACAATATGTGTCATTATATGTCATTTAGGACTTATTGTGTCTCGGGACTTCATTCATGGAACTTCTCATCCATACACGCATACCCGTTTGAATCACCCACATCA